CACACCATATCTTTTCTGATCTTTTAGATCACGATGCAAGCTTAGTGTTATTGTCACATCATTTTATTAAGATAATTTTAAATGATTTTATTGTATCACACATAAATAATATGATACGTGTATTATAAAGTACGGTGTAAGTGCAAAAAAAACCATTAAAGGTATTAAATGTTATACGGGAAAAGAGAGATATGGACAGATACCAGGAGAACTATTATAGATGGAGAGTCCCCCTCCCCCACCGTCCCATGTGCATGTGAAAATGTTGCCATCAAATTACCCGTTGATTGAAGCAATTAAAATCAAAGTTTGAAATATTTACTTCGATTTCATTTCGTGTTCCTTACAGCTTTGACGCTATAGGGAGTGGTGACCCAGTCGCCGGACAGCGAAGAAAATATGTGTACTCACAGTCCTAGATTTTTTTTTTCTCGTGCCAGCCCCACTTCTACTGTTATTATTATTATTATTATTATTATACTATGTTTACCCATGACCTTATTAACCGTCTTACTATCTTATGTAAATATAAAATATAGTACGGGTATCATATATAATTTTAACAAAGGATAATAAGATGGTTAATAAGATCGTGAGTAAGTACAGTATTACTCTTTTTATTATTATTATGCTTTTGTACTAATATGAAAATTTGATCTTTGTATTTTCAGTATGGATAATACTATATTTATAACATAATCTTACAATTTTCTTTTATAATCCTAACATGATAACTCATAATTGGTTAACTAATAATGGATCTCGCATGTCTAATAATGGGTCTTGTTTGCTCAACAATGAGTCCCTCTTGTCCAATCGACGAGCTGATCAATCACGAACTATCACGTTAAAGTTGTGAAAGAAAATTTGTAAGATTGAATTGTAAACCAATCTTTATTGTTTTAGCATCGTGCTCTTGCATTTGTAGGCTACGATTCACTCATCACTACTTGTAAATGGATGGATTAAAATTATAGTCTTGAGGAAGCAACAAATAATAAGAAATGTATCGTTACATTATGAGACATGGTTTTCTATTGTATCGGTTAATGTTATTGTCTAATAAATTATAAGATGAAAAGGAGTCAAATTTTTAATTATTATTTTTCTCAGAATAAAAAAAATTAGAACCCGAGATGCTCATGGTTCTAGTATAGGCTTGTAGTATCAAATTTAAAGTATTATTAATTTAAATAACATTTATAAAGTTAGAATCTTAATTTTAAATTTTAATACATCAGGATATAATATCATATCTAAAATTATGTGATGAGAGATTTAATTTGTTTTATAAGTTTTGAAAATACTAAAATGATTAAAAAATGTAAAAAATGAAATTATAAAATGTTATTTGTCTGAGAATAAGAATGTGTTGGGTATAGTTGTCTAAAAGCACAAAGAAAATAATGAAAAGTAAGATATTTATCACCTACACAACAAATTAAACTCTTTCAAATGACTACGTTTTCAAGAGTTTATGTGAAATATGCCAATTATTTAATTTATATTTGCAATTTTGTTATAAAATATTTGATTTGAAACAAAGTTTTTATTTTATGTCAGAGTGAGAAGATAAAGAAGCAATGAAGTTTTTTTGGAACCGGAATGAATGTGCACATGATTTAATAAAAATCAACTGTGAATAAAAAAGAAAGAGTCATAAGTAAGAGCACACAACAATTTTTAAAGTAGTTCAATAAGTTAGAACTTGAGCCAACGTCTACTGTTATCTTATTATTTTTGACAGTTTACAAAGAATAATATAATTTCTAAGAAAATTTGCTTAGAACAATTGTCCAACCCCCCTTAAAACAAGTTATGATGGTGTTATATAGCATCCATTTACATAATAGAAGTGAGATAAGATTCAAATATATAGAATTAGGAAATTGCATAATCTTCAGCTATCTTAGCTAGAGTCTAAGTCAATCTGAATATCTTCCTTCCAAATTGAGTCAATCTAAATATCTTCTCTCATAATAAGGAATTATCCTCTTTGGATTGATCGCATAACACTTAAGAAGCTCGGGGTTTGAGTCTCTCCTTGGACGCTAATAGGGATAGCTACTGAAGCTTTTGTCCGATCAATAATTTTATGGTCTTGAAAGATTGGTTAAGGTGTATATAAACTGGTCCAAACACTTTTAATCATTTAAAAAAAAAAAAGTTTTATTGGGATTGGTGGTGCTTGTAGTAGAGTAATAATACTGTGGTAATCCTTTTGATGAATTTAATGTAGTGTAATAGTGAGAAACAAACACACCCATATATATAGGGATAGGGTCATGAAATTAAATCAAAAGAAAGTAAATAATACAACAATCTGGTTAGAATACATTTTGTGTATGGTACAAAAGTATGTAGAAAAGTGTACGTATGGGAATGGATGTGAGAAATTATAGAAAATATAATATGCCTATTTATAGAGGCGGCACCATTGCGTGTGTGCATCCATCTATTATTCGTACTGTGGGACAATACATCCTTCTGTAACTTATATCCCCACTCCAATCCCACGGCTCTTATTTTCATTACCCCATCGGGCTCCACCAAACCTCCATTTCCGCTGTTTATCGCTTCATCGGCGGCCAGTATTTGCGCTGCACGTGTAAACTAGGCAATTATTGATTGTACATGATAATGCTAATAGGAAGACAATAATAATACATCACCCATCGCTCAACTGAGATATTTTAAGGGTTTTCCCATTGGCTAATGCGAGTCCTAATTTAATTTTACAAATTTTCTCTTATAATCTTAATATGATAGTTCATAATTGATCAACTTACAATTAGACATATTGATTCTATTATTAGACAGACAAGACTCTTTACGAACTAACCAATTATGACCATATAATAATAATAATTCATGTAACTTAACCTCTATTAAATTATAATCTCATCATAGTAATAAATTTAGTTAGTCTTAACGTTATGACTATAAAGAGGTTTTATTTATATATATATTTTAAAATTAATTTAGAAAAAGATTAAAATTTAAGATTTGGGTGTATGATTGATTTTGAAAACAAATTTTTTGGTGAACTATCCACATCCATTTTTCTATATACACTATTATTAATTGTTTTTTTTTTTAATAATAATTTTTTAACTCAAACATATTTATAAATTAAAAATTGGATTATATAGCAAATATAGAATTAATTATATATAAAATATATTAAAACAAACATTTTTTTCTTAAAAATATTGGTAAGAGAAGTGAAGTATAAAAAAGTATTTTAAGAAAATACGTATCTTAATTTTTTATATGAACCATCAATGTGCCGAAAAAAAGGGTGGTATGTTTTGGAAGAAATCTTCATCGTACATTTGGAACATTATGTCTCACCTAGACCCCACTTCCAAATTTCCATTATCAAGAATTTGGTTTATCAAACATCAATGGTAAAAAACTTATAAAAATTTTATGTTTATTACAAGAGAAATATTAAATGTATAAAGACTTTGTACAAAGGATTTTTGTACAAAGTGATGTGATAACTGTTACATCACCAGTTTATAAAAATAAAAAAAAAGATTGATATGAAACTAGTGATGTAACAGCTGGCACATCACTTTGTATAAATTTTTTTTGTAAAAGTTTATGTACACTTGGCCTTTCTCTTTTTACCATTAATTAAAAAAGTTTAAAATTTTATGCAGTTATAATGGAAGACCAATCAGTTATAGAAGGTAGAATTGATTAAAACAATAACGAGATATTGAGATGCTGATTTGTACCACCAAACTTCTCTTAATCACTTAATTTAAATATTGAGTAATGCTGGTTTGGTCTAAGGCCAACCATTTGTCACTGCTATTAATGTGCCACATCTTTATTTTATTTTAATTTTTTTAACGATAAGAGATATCTTGATCAGTTTATATGTATCTCAACTAATTTTTAAGGATCCTAAAATTATTATCTAGGTATAAGCTCTAATAGCCACACCTGTTAGCAACCGTAGAGGTTTAAACTTTAAAAATCATGTTAGATTCTTGTTTTACTCTTTTACTTTTAATAAAACTCAAATATAAGACATCATGTTATATCATTCTCTTAAAAGATCATATTATATTCTTCTCTTACTTTATTATTATTAAGAGAATTCAAACATGAGAAAATATGCTAATAATAATCTTTCATTACTCTTTTATTATCAGATAATTAAATAGTGATTAACGTGCCCGTGCCACGTCTGGCGGCTCGTTCATTCTTATTTGTTTTGCTACTTAATCAACTATACAAATTACTAGTGCGTTACTAATTAAATTTAATGTTTAAATACTATTTCTATAACAAAAAATTACTGGACAGATAAAAGTCGGTGCCTATTATCTTATCATTAGAAGGCGCGTGCTTCAAATTATTTCATCTCATATTTTCTTGCACTTATTGATTGCCTTTAAGATCTTTTTTGGTGTCATTTTTTATTTATAATTAACAAGTAGAAATTAAAAAAACACACACACACTCACGCGCATTACAAAATGGGGATTTGGTAACAGTGAGGATCTGATTTATTTGAAATTTAGAATGGTAATAATAATAGGGTCAGATACATGACACAGTAACTTCACTGTTAAGAAAATATTTTTGACAGCTCACCAATTACATCAGGCAACGTGGCCGTCCTTCAACCAGTTGTACTGACACCGAGATAGCACAGCAGATAAACTGGGGTGGCCGACAATTAGACAACCTGATTTTGTGGACATCATCTCTCTCCTTTTCTTGTCCGTCCACGTAACCTTCTCACCAACGCTTCTGATTTCTCCATTTCCTTGTACGGTCCTCTTTTGTCCAACCAAATCAACTCAATGACATTTCCAACCCTATTACAACCTATCCTAGTAGGGGTGTTTTTGTATATTTCACTTACTGTCTTACTGAGGACTTGAGGGAAATAGTGTAAAGTTTGTGGTTAATATGGTAATTAGACAATAATATTACTAGAAGATATGTAGAGGATATTTGTCAGAATTTCAGATCATCTTTCATCGTTTTCTCACACACTTTCATTCCATTCTGATTCTGTTCTTAGTTCTTAACTAAAGAAACCAAAAAAGTTAAAAAAAAAAAAAAAATTATTAAAAGAATATTTGATTCTCTTGCATAAGCTAATGTGAAGAAGTGATATTTCTGTAATCTTCACGGCTATATCCAAAAGGGTTCTTGGATTTTCACAGATTGGTTTGGAACAGCAGCTTGACAGGTACGGTATGCAAGACATCCATTCAATCGGAGGAGGCAGGTTATATAGTGGCGGCGGAGACAGGCGGCTACGCCCCCACAACCACCAGAACCACCAGGCACTCAAGTGTCCCCGCTGCGACTCACTGAATACCAAATTTTGTTACTACAATAACTACAATCTCTCTCAGCCTCGCCACTTCTGCAAGAGCTGCCGCCGCTACTGGACCAAAGGTGGCGTCCTCCGTAACGTGCCGGTGGGCGGTGGCTGCCGCAAGACCAAACGTAACTCCAAGCCTAAACCCTCTTCAGACTCCTCGGCACAACAAATACAAACACAAGCACAAATTCCAGCACCGGCTTCAGAAAGAGAGCCTAAGAGCAATTCTCATAACTCCAGTAGTGAAAGCTCGAGTCTCACTGTGACGACGAATAATACAAATGTTGAAGCAGTGTCCGTACATTCTTCGAGTTCAGTGTCGAACGTCTTGAGTATGAATAATGATTGCAATCTTTTCGATAATAATAGCAACAACAACAATAATAATAATAACAACGGTGGTGGTTTTGACGGTGCAACAACGACGACTACTTTGCTGGAACACGGTTCCGATTGTGGTGGGATATTTTCAGAGATTGGGAGCTTCACGAACCTGATTACGTCATCGAGTGAGCCGTTGTCGTCGTTTGGGTTCAGTAATTTAATGAATGCTCAACAAGGATTAGAGAGTCATCATCAGTGGCAGCAGCAAGAACATCAGCCGAAGATGGTGAGTGGTCACATGGGAGGAGGTCAAGATCATCATCAGTCGAAGATGCAGGAGATGACGACTGGGTTGCTTGATCAGACGGTGCAGGCTGAGTTATCGGCACTGCAGGATAGATCGGGTAATGGAGGATTTGGATCGTTGGATTGGCATGGAAGTGGTGATCAAAACTTGTTTGATCTTCCTAACGCTGTTGATCATGCATCTTACTGGACTCAAACTACTACCCAGTGGACTGATTATCTCCCGTAAATCTTTTACCTTTTTTAACTAAAAAAAAAGTTTCTTTTTTTGTTAAAAAAACAACTCTCAAAAATATCAAACAAATTAAATCCAGAGAGTTATATGAAAATTGAAAAGTATCAATATGACTGCTTTCTATGTAAATTTTTTTTTTTTTTTTTTTTTTTTTGGGTTGATTTTGGAAGTTGTTTGGGTTTGATCTTTGATGTCCATGTGCAACTAACTTCGTGTTAGTTTTTATTTTATTTTAATGTTAATGCATCTGGAATTAGATTAATCATCAAGAAAATATAGAACGATTATAGAGTGTTTTGATTTATTTATTAATTTGTTTAATTTGTATTGGCTAATCCTCCAATTAGTGGATAACATACTATTCATAACGTTAATGGTGATAATAATTACGCGTTGGCCTGTAACTGTATGGAGAAGTAGTGTTGGGAGTGTACTAGTCGGCAAGGGTGGGTTGGCCGGGTGGGGGTGTGGTGACAAGTACCATGCGTGATTATGACTCCACGTGGCGGTGATAATGGGGCGGGCTTTTCTTAATGGGAGTAGGGCCACGTGGGCTTACGTGATAGGCGGGCACGACAATGAAGGGGTTGGTTTGTCCTGAGTGAAAGAAATTAAGTGATGAACAGGGTAGACTGAGAGTGATCGAGAGATGTGAAGTGAAATGATATCGGAAAATGGTGAGAGAGAGAAATAAGAAGAAGAATGACGTGGAAAATCGAAGGGCCCAGATTAGGTGGGTGGGTGGTTACTGAGAAACAGGTGATTTTGGGGAAGGGGCTAACGGCAGGCATGTGCAGAAGTGGTCTTGGTCACGCCTGCCTTTGGTGGGATGTGTGTGTTTTTTCACTCACTCATGATCCCACCATGTTTTTTTTGGGCTTCTTTTGGTATCAGCAACAGATTTATTGCAACTGACTTTCCCATACCTTGGTATTATTTTCGGCATTGGAATGGCCTTTCCCCATGCCACTTCCCGTTGTCTTTTTCACTTCCATTTTTGGGTAATTGTAGAATTCGAATTTCGGAGTTTTCATTTTCTTCAACCTCCGGTCGGTTAGGTTCAGTGTGTCAGTACAAGTCATTTAGGTCAAATGCTACTACCCACCTTAACTCGCATCCCTTCCAATAAGAGAACTTTTGAGTTAAAACTGAAATGAACCCCAATACTTTGCTGGTACATGTACAACTGCAACTGCTAGGACGGTATCATGGGAGCAGTTGTAGATGCTAGATGGTAAAGTTTCAAAGGTTAGCCGAGATGGGGTAGGCTTGGTTGAAAATTGTTGATTAATAGGCAGGATCTGACTACTATTTGCTTTCTTAAATGTCTCTCTGTCTATTTATTTGAAATTTTCGCAAATGAGACTCTTAACTCTCCTGTTACCATCATCAACACATTTCTTCTCATATTGCATCCTTTGATTTGATCATTCAGTCGCGCTAATTAAGAACAGTTGTTGAACCGACTTCAATTAATGGTCCAGGAAAGAACTATTCATAAGATAAAACCAATGGGTTTTGCTTACGAAACCGTCCAAGCATATGAAATACGAGAGATGTGACACATGAGGAGGTCTAATTTAACATTTTTTTCCCCAAATAGAAAATAGAGTAAACCACATTTTCCCACCCAAGGTTTGGCTAATCTACAAGTTTCCACCCCTAGTTTCATAAATTACAGATTCTCACCCTAAAATTAATACCGTTATTTTTCTCTTAAAATAACTCTCGCATCTCAAATAACCCCCAGAGATCCCGGCCAAGCCAAAAATCTAGCTTGATTCCTACACCATTGGACCATCCCTTTATCCTCCTCACCAAAACCCCTAACTTTTTCATTCGATTGCACCTCGACAAGGTGTCAGAATTTGGCTGGAAAGATGCGACAAAACGCGAAAACCCAAGGGAGAGGTGGCGGCAATCGACGGGCAATTGCAGTTGACGATGTTAGTGGTTTTGGTGGGGAGAAGCTGGTGACGCTATTGGTGGTCTTGGGGGTGGTTTTCGGTGCCGAGACCTGCTAGAATTTAGATGAAATGCCGATTGACACTAAAAGTGACGATCGCCAATTGGGGGATTCAATCAGGTGGGAAGGTTAGGGATTTTGATGTGGGGGTTGAGGGGATTGTAATGGTGGTGTCGGGAGGGGTCAATTGTGCCAGAAACAAGCTAGAACGGCCTGAGACCTCCGGTGGGGTGAATTTGAGAAATAAAATGTTATTTTAAAATTTTTATCTTTGAAATGACTATTTTACCCTTTCAACTGTTAGATTAAACAATTTTTTGTTAATTTAAAGGTGAGAATTTGCAATTTATGAAACCAAGGGTGGGAACTTGTAAATTGGCCAAACCTTGGGTGGGAAACTGTCGTCTACTCTAGGAAATATAAGGATTAATTAGAATTAACTGGCACTGGACCAGTGTGTTCCAGAATTGCCTTGACATTGCAGTGCAGAGCAACACAGTGGCATGGATTGTGACTAGAGATTAGTACCTCAATGTTAGGCACGTGGTGGTGGTCCTCGGCGCCATTGCCCCTCAATTTTGATGTGTGTAATCGCATTTGATGCACCATTATGGCCTTTGTTGTTTCACCAAACATTTGAGAACGAAGTGGAGCCATAAAACAAAAGTGATTTTTAATGCTAAGGATGAGCGAAATGTGATGCATGGATTAGCTTAAAATGTTTCCCAAAATGATTGATAAAGATTTCCGTACTACCAGTAGAGAGAGATTGGTTTTTTCAGTATCCGAAATGGTATATTTTACTGGACAAATTTTCGTACCATTTAAGCAGAAATATGGCCCTGCCCACAACTTTGCTTTGTACATGGACCATGACGGGCGGTGGTCAGTGGAGTGTTGAGTTGTGGGGACTTGGTATTCATTTGAATGGTGAAGTAAGTCAAGTTGTTCTTTAACTTCTTTTAAGGAAACAATTTGGCAGCATAATGATGCAAATACTGAAGCTTTATGGTGGAGTAATTCTTGTTATTTCTTTAATTATTATAGTTTTTTTGTTTTTTTTTTTGTATCAGAACATGAAAACATCTATGATATTGTTGATCCTTTTCACTGTACATTCCAACGCCGAATCTTAAGTAAAAGAAAGAATCAATTATACAACTAAATAACCAAGAAGGGAACATATTGCACTTAGAATTTCCTACATAGAAAACACTTCTTCCAGCTTCTTCGCTTTCTAAATTGTCTTCTGTCAGTTTTCGCCATTCTCACTGGGCTGCCACTCCACTCTGAGGGTAATCTGTTCAAGTCAAAGCCCAAGTATGAGAAAACTAACTCATTGTCATATCAAGAGAACAACGAGGTATCGGTAAATTAGGAACTTACATGGGAAACATAAAAGAACTTGAACTTGCATTGCTGCTATTTGACTGACAAGAAATGCTTCCTGAATATAGTGTTTGTTCAAATGGTAAGAAATTGGATTCTTCTTGATCATGTTGCTGAGAAGAATCTTGATTTGAATTTGTTTCTGACATGCCATTTTGAGGCTTTGATGCGTGGAACGCTTCAAGTAAATGTTGAGAATATGCATGTTGTTGAAATTCCTCTTCGCCATTTATGGTTGTTATAGGTGAATCAGAATTATGACTGATGCTTCTGCTCTCCTCACTTTCAGAAGAGGCGTTGCTTGTATGAGAGTTGTTATCAATGGTTACTTCGATCGCAGATTGTACCATAGAGTTCCCAAAGTCTGCTTCTCTACTTGCTACCTACAAATTTTTAAGAGATTAAAATCTTCAACAGTCATAATGATCTAAAATCATGGCAGGAATATATGTAACTTCAGGCGAAAATAATTGTTGAAACTCTGATGGTAGCATTCAATCCTCATCTATTTGATATTCAGCAAAAGAGAATGAAGCAAACGAGATAGCAACACATAATGACCATTAATGCATTCATTTATACTACTACATTGTAGCCATAACTTGTATTTACTTAACCCTTGTTACCATGAACTCCCACTAAGGTATCAACAAATCCTCAATTCAAACATTAGAAATCCCGGATAGCTGCCAGCCTGCCACAATAGTAACTACAAGTCTGCTAGAGAGCTTCTATTTTGTTGTTATTGTTGTGGGGATTTAATCGAATGCTAGCAAATCCTAAATCTTAAAAGTGAAAATTAAGTGGACAAAGGACAAATAACAACCACATGTGCACTATCAGAAAAATTATAGTCTAGTCTCTCAAGCCGCCTCACAAATTGACTCTATTACTTAACATTTAACCTCTCTTTGATGGCCCTCATTCTCTAGGTGTAGCTTTGCCTTTTATTTTATTCAAATTACCTAACGGTAGGATTTAACCATTTTTTATACAATTCTATATAGGAACATATTAGAAAACCTATATCCTAATGCAATACTAATTTGAATTGAATTTGACTCTACAATCTCAACAGTTATTGGCTGGTTTCCTGTTGGCAAGCTAGCATAATTAAAAAAATGAGTTCCAAAGAAGGATACAGAGATCAAATTCTGTAGATTTGTTCCTCTACGGGAGAGGAACAACTGGAGTAAACTTCTTCAGCACATCATAAAACCAAACCATGTGACAATAAGAACCAATTTGTATAGACCTAAATCAGTTTGCCTACGTCTAAATTATATCTTTAGCATCCATATAGCTAACAACTGCTTAGTTTGTAGTCCTTTCTATGCCATTAAAACCTAATCAGAATGAATGTACAGTTAATTGAGACACCAGATTAGAGACATTAAATACACGTTGTATCAACTTTTTAGCTCTACAGACACATGAACCGAATCTGGTGGAGAAAAGTGCCCAAAAGCATATATGAAGACAAGCCTCATCAGCAAATAGCTATATATGTATGGAAAGTGAGTGGCATCTTTTCTTACCTTTTCAATTAGTTCCCTTTCAGCAGGTACAATCTTCTCTACTGAACAATCAAGTAATCTGACATCTCTTGCATCAGTATTTTCTCCATCTTCCATCTTCAAGTTCTTAGATTCATATTTATTGATGACATCCTTATTTGAGTCATTCTCAATTCTAAGTTTTGGCTCATTTGACAAGGATGACATTATCTCCAGAGTTCCTTTGGTTGATTCACTCTTCTTGTCCACATCAGAATTAAGCATTTTGTGGTTCATCTCACAATTTCCCACCAAGCACTTGTTCAGTGGAGGCATTTCCCCATCCATGAAAATCGACTTAACAAACTGATAACTGTGCTCTTGGAAAAATGCAACCAGCTCTGGTGTGTCGGAGTCCTCTTCCTCCATTATCATTTTAGTATAATACTTCTTTCTTTCTTTATTTTCTTCTGTTCTACTCGGACTCGTAGCACATGGTGCTGCCTGCAATTGATCTTGATCCCTCCAAGCCATAAATTCATTAACTTGAGGGACCTTCTCGACAACTCCATCACTGCTTCGTCGCTGAATTTCCAAATTTCTCTCCGTATCCCTCTTCAATGCTCTCATCTCCTGAAAGTTCTCACTGAATTTGAAAGCCTTGTAATCCGACTTATTGATCAGCGTTGAACTCCCACACATGGAATCTCAGTCTGGCAGGTACAAAAATTTAGCAAGATCAAATAGAAATATTCATGAAACCAACCAAGATATTTGACATCTTGTGATAAGACTTAATATCAATACATAAGCACATACAAAAGGTTAGATTTTAGAAGGCACAAATGATTAAAATGGAGGGGATACATGAATCTCAAAAGAGCTTATCACTGCTTATAGTCAAACTGAATGTGATTGGTTTTGCTTTGACAAAATGCAACTAGTATCTTCATCTGTAGCATAAGTCAATTAAAGTGATACAGTATTAAACTTAGTGGATTACATCAAATTACCAGGCATGGTGGGCTACACCTCCTTATGAAGTGTCATTTCTGTCAACTGGTAGACAAAACATTCCCTGCATATATTTCAGAAATATCAACTACACAATCTGATTGTTTCTGGATAATTCGTATTCAACCAAATCGATGTTTGTGAAACCATCACAATCATTCACATAATACATAATGCTATTTCCCTCAACAAACGCTATTTCTGTTACCGTCTCATCATTTGGCACATAGGTTCGGTTTAACCTTACAGAAAACATGATGCTAACCCCAAATTTTCCAGATGACAGTAAAAATACAACTCATCATTAGACAAAAATTAGTACTTCACTGACAGAAAATGGAAAGTATCCATATATGGAGATGGTAGATGTAACCAAGTTTCATTAATTAGCATATAAAATGCTCATCATTAGACAAAAATTAGTACTTCACTGACAGAAATTGGAAAGTATCCATATATGGAGATGGTAGATGTAACCAAGTTTCATTAATTAGCATATAAAATGCATTAGCAATTTAGCGCAACTGTAAAGAAGTCCAGTCAAAGAAAGGCATTAAAGTATTTAAACGCGACAACTCAGCGGAAGGGTAGAATATATATGTTGCTTATTGTCCTTGTTTGCAGCTGAGTTTTCATTATCAAATTATATCACCTGAATATAAGACCACATTTGATCTAACAAAACAATTCTTTGATCAATATCAATTATCAATTCAAAAGAAAAATTCCACCAAAAGACAAAAAAAGTCTAATTTCCAAAAATTTCTGCAAACCTTTCCAGATCAAATCTGCATTCCCTCTTCTACCTCCAGCTATCTCTGCTTGAAATCAAACAAAAACAGATGAACCAGAAAACCAAAAAGAACACAATGCCTCTATATTAACAAAATGGTGAATATAAAGGAGCAACAAATTCCCGGATTCTAATACAAAAAACAGGAACAACCCCATATCACATTTTGACGGAAACTTGTGATATTTGATATGAATCCAAACAATTAAGCTGAAATAACGAAAAAATGAAACCTACATGGAATGACAAAATTTTAAACTACTAACCTCATAAAAGATAATAAACCAGGTGGCGAGAAAATTAAGAATGAGAAAAATGAGAAGTCATATATGCATGAAAATGTAGAGCTGATGAAAACAAAATTATAGGGGGATAGTTGAGAGAGTGGCTTTTGACATAAAAAGAACGCAAACGGTTAGTTAAAAAGTGGGTACAATAAATGGACAGTTTGAGTCATTTAATGTCTCTTAACATATGAAACTGATGCCCAGTTACCATAGAACTGTCACTTTGCCAACACAAAATTCTTGTGATCTTGTCCCAATCGCATCCAAAATCTTCCTGTCAATCATTTTTGCTCTTTCAATTATATATACTGTATATATTTTGTTATGCTGTTATTTAAAACGTGCCATAAATAAAGTTCGTTTACAATATAATTTTTTTGATTCTATCTATATATTAAAAATAGAATTTTTAAGGAAGGAACTAAAATTAAGATATATCTTTACCAAGTATAAGTGGACCTGATAAATTTCATTAAATTTTTGTTGGATTATTATTAAAATTGAATATAAAACTTGTAAAATAAAGGGTTTATTTCATTTACTAGTCATTGAGTCTCAACAATTTTCGACAACATTAAGTACCCATAAAATTATTTAAAACCATTTTAGACAAGCCTCATCAGCAAATAGCTATATATGTATGGAAAGTGAGTGGCATCTTTTCTTACCTTTTCCATTAGTTCCCTTTCAGCAGGTACAATCTTCTCTACTGAACAATCAAGTAATCTGACATCTCTTGCATCAGTATTTTCTTCATCTTCCATCTTCAAGTTCTTAGATTCATATTTATTGATGACATCCTCATTTGAGTCATTCTCAATTCTAAGTTTTGGCTCATTTGACAAGGATGACATTATCTCCAGAGTTCCTTTGGTTGATTCACTCTTCTTGTCCACATCAGAATTAAGCATTTTGTGGTTCATCTCACAATTTCCCACCAAGCACTTGTTCAGTGGAGGCATTTCCCCATTCATGAAAATCGACTTAACAAACTGATAATTGTGCTCTTGGAAAAATGCAACCAGCTCTGGTGTGTCGGAGTCCTCTTCCTCCATTATCATTTTAGTATAATACTTCTTTCTTTCTTTATTTTCTTCTGTTCTACTCGGACTCGTAGCACATGGTGCTGCCTGCAATTGATCTTGATCCCTCCAAGCCATAAGTTCATTAACTTGAGGGACCTTCTCGACAACTCCATCATTGCTTCGTCGCTGAATTTCCAAATTTCTCTCCGTATCCCTATTCAATGCTCTCATCTCCTGAAAGTTCTCACTGAATTTGAAAGCCTTGTAATCCGACTTATTGATCAGCGTTGAACTCCCACACATGGAATCTCAGACTGGAAGGTACAAAAATTTAACAAGATCAAATAGAAATATTCATGAAACCAACCAAGATATTTGACATCTTGTGATAAGACTTAATATCAATACATAAGCACATACAAAAGGTTAGATTTTAGAAGGCACAAATGATTAAAATGGTGGGGATACATGAATCTCAAAAGAGCTTATCACTGCTTATAGTCAAATTGAATGTGATTGGTTTTGCTTTGACAAAATGCAACTAGTATCTTCATCTGTAGCATAAGTCAATTAAAGTGATACAGTATTAAACCTAGTGGATTACATCAAATTACCAGGCATGGTGGGCTACACCTCCTTATGAAGTGTCATTTCTGTCAACTGGTAGACAAAACATTCCCTGCACATATTTCAGAAATATCAACTACACAATCTGATTGTTTCTGGATAATTCGTATTCAACCAAATCGATGTTTGTGAAACTATCACAATCATTCACATAATACATAATGCTATTTCCCTCAACAAACGCTATTTCTGTTACCGTCTCATCATTTGGCACATAGGTTCGGTTTAACATTACAGAAAACATAATGCTCACCCCAAATTTTCCAGATGACAGTAAAAATACAACTCATCATTAGACAAAAATTAGTACTTCACTGACAGAAAATGGAAAGTATCAATATATGAATGGTAGATGTAACCAAGTTTCATTAATTAGCATAAATGCTCATCATTAGACAAAATTAGTACTTCACTGACAAAATTGGAAAGTACCATATATGGAGATGGTAGATGTAAACAGTTTCATTAATTAGCATATAAAATGCATTAGCACAACTGTAAGAAGTCCGTCAAAGAAAGGCATTAAAGCTTTAAACGCGACAACTCAGCGGAAGGGTAGAATATATATGTTGCTTATTGTCCTTGTTGCACTGAGTTTTCATTATCAAATTATATCACCTGAATATAGACCATATTTGATCTAACAAAACAATTATTTAACTAATCAATTATCAATTCAAAAGAAAAATTCTACCAAAAGACAAAAAAAGTCTAATTTCCAAAAGTTTCTGCAAACCTTTCCAGATCAAATCTGCATTCCTCTTCTACCTCCAGCTATCTCTGCTTGAAATCAAACAAAACAGATGACCAGCAAACCAAAAAGAATACAATGCTCATATTAAAATATGTGAATATAAAGAGCATCAAATTCCCGGATTCTAATACAAAAAACAGGAACAACCCCATTCACATTTTACGGAAACTTGTGATATTTTATGAATCCAAACAATTAAGCTGAAATAACGAAAAAATGAAACCCTACATGGAATGACAAAATTTAAAACTACTACCCTCATAAAAGATAATACAGCGTGGCGAGAAAATTAAGAATGAAAAAATGAGAAGTCATATATCATGAAAATGTAGAGCTGATGAAAACAAAATTATGGGGATGTTGAGAGAGTGGCTTTTGACATAAAAAGAACGCAAACGGTTAGTTAAAAAGTGTACATAATGGACAGTTTGAGTCATTTAATGTCTCTTAACATTAGAAACTGTGCCCAGTTACCATAGACGTCACTTTGCCACACACAAATTCTTGTACTTGTCCCAATCGCATCCAAAATCTTCCTGTCATCATTTTGCTCTTTCATTATATATATCTTATATATTTTGTTATGCTGTTATTTAAAACGTGCCATAAATAAAGTTCGTTTACAATATATTTTTTTGATTCTATCTATATATTAAAAATAGAATTTTTAAGGAAGGACTAAAATTAAGATTATCTTTACCGAGTATAAGTGGACCTGATAATTTCATTAAATTTTTGTTGGTATATAATATTATTATTAAAATGAATATAAAACTTGTAAAAATATTGCTAGTCATTGAGTTTTAGTGAAAAATCGTTGTCTCAACAATTTTCGACAACATTAAATACCCATCAATTATTTAAAAGTTTAAAACCATTTAAAAAGTATCATAAATTGAATAAATTATCAAAAACTATTATAAATATAAAAACCTCTAAAAGCATTAAAATATCTAAATAGAAAGGTCTTTGATAGTTTCCAATAATCATTCCGCGATATTACTATTGAGTGATCAATTAGATTATTAGATATATTACTTAAGTGGTTCTAAGTTTGTTTACTTTAACTCTCAATTTTAGTAAGAGTGGCCCCTGAAACTCTTATTCGACGGTATCCAACTATAGGTGAAAAAGCAGCCCGCCCCGACCCGTGGCGAGTTGCGCAAAGTGGCGGGTTGGTCCTAACCCACCCGGCAACATTGGCAGGCCGGTTAGGCCTGCCAATGTTGGGGAATTGGTTGGCCCAACTCGGACCGCCAACCCTAACCTGTCGGGTTAGGCCGCGGTTGGGTCGGGTTAACCCTCTTTTTGATTTTATTTTATTTTGTTTAAGTTTAAATGTTTAATTACTTTTCAAATGAATAATTAACAATTTATAAATGAAATGTATTGTTTTTAGTTAAGTGTTAATTTCTTTTCAATATCAAATTAATTAAACTAAATTTTTTTTTTTTGTTAACATTCCAATATTTAATTCAATTTTAATACTTAAATTTGTAATATAAGAATATTAAATTTATTCATTTATTAAAAAATAAAATAAGAAATTATAATAATTATTGTCTCGTTCAAAACCTCAC